TTTAGCCCAGCTGAGGCTGTACTAGCCCATTAGGGCCCAGCTGGGCGCTATAATAGAGAAGGGGCTGCTGCTGTGGGGGGGAAGCAGTGAGAACCTGGCTGCTGAGGGGAGGAGGAGGCTCCCTGGAGCTAGGGCAGGGCTGGGGGGAGGCCAGGCAGGGCTAGGGGAGCTCTGGCCAGCAAATCCCCAGACTGCAGGGATGGAAGGAAGGCCCGATGAAGGAACATCTACCCCCGGAAGGGGGGCTCAGAGGCAGACTTGGGCACTGCCGGAGGGCAGCGTGGTGAAGAGGACGCCGCAGCCGGGAGTAAAGAGGGGAAACACCACCCCAGAGAAGGCACCCTACCTGCCGAGGGAGCCAATTCCTGAGGACAGACGGCAGGGGGGCTACGGTGGTGAGTGCCCCCCCTCACAGGGTGTCAGAGACTTTTGGGGTGTCGGACTTTTGGGTGATTTGTGGCTGCGGGGAGGGTCTTTGCTCATGTTTGGTCTGTAAATCCGAGTTCTGGTGTTTCCCCAATTTAATGCTGATGTCGGTTACCTCATGTTATTAAAGGTTTGATACTATACTGAGGCTCTGTGCTTGCGAGAGGGGAAGAATTGCCTCTTTGAGGCGCCCAGAGGTGTATGTAAGATTTCCCCAGTCACTGGGTGGGGGCTCGAGCCGGTGTTGTATTACCTTGTTGGGAGGAGACCCCTAGATACTGAACCCGGCCCTTGCTGCTATTTACTCGGCCTGGCAGAAGGGTAACACATATATAAAAGCATAAGGCTATATCTGTGGATAATGGCCCCAACAGTCTGTAGATCAGAATGACCATAAATATCTGCATTACAGACCAGGCACCTGTACTGAGAAGGTACAGTATAAACCAAGCATTTCAGCAGCTTGAGTCAGATGAGAAGTGGCATGGTGGCATGGTGCTACTGGGAAGAACAGAGCTAGAGATATGTGGCTGTGTTGCTCTGTTCAAAGACATAGGCTACGTCTACATTGGCATGATCTTGAGCAAATACTCTTTGTTTAAAAGTTCTTGTGTTAAAGTATTTGTGCAAGAGAGCGTCTACACTGGCATGTGCCTTTGAGCAAGAGATGTGCTTCTGCGCATGAGCATCTGTGCCAGTGTAGACGCTCTCTTGCGCAAGAAAGCTCTGATGGCCATTTTAACCATTGGGCTTTCTTGCTCAAGAAATTCATGTTGCCTGTCTACACTGGCCTCTTGCACAAGACCAAGGGAATTTGTAAAATTAATTACTGTGGAGCAAGGAGATTGCAAACCAAAGAGCTACAGATTTTTCAGGGTTTTTTTATTCTGAAAATAAGGGAAACGCCACAGGAAGCGTTACTGCAGGGTTCAGATGGCAGAGGAGAGAAACATGCAGTAGCAATATTATCTTGGGGTAGGCTTGCCAAGTATCTGATTTTCAAGTGGAATGAAAAAGGGACCCTGTAAACAGGGCTGGCTCCTGGCACCAGCAAATCAGGCAGGTGCTTGGGGCGGCACTTTGCCATGGGCGGCATTTCCAGTAAGCAGCTGGCGCCGCCCCCGGCAACGCCTAGCCCCGCCTTGCCAATTTTAAAGGGCCGTGGCCTGGGAAACACCACGGCTGCGCAGCCTGCTGGCCACCCCTGTCTCCTCTCCTGCTCCTCCTCTCCCCGGCAGTCACTAAGCAGCTAGATCCTGAGCTGCTCCTGCAGGATGCTGTAATGCCTTAGCAAAGAGCACGTCATCTGCACCTGGTAAGCCAAATGTGATCTTTTCTCTAATGCTGAGCATGCTACAGTTATCCAGGCCTTTGTCTTATCAAAATTAGATTGCTGTAAGATGCTGTACGTGGGGCTATGTTTTGGAACCATTCAGGGGCTGAAGCTCGTGAAAAATACACATAGTGCTGTGCTCTGCAATATTCATTGGTGCCCAGTAAGCTTCTGGGTAGAATTAGAGGTCCAGTAATTCCTCATTTAACACTATAGATATGTTTCAGAAAATGATTGTGTTAAGTGAAAACATGTTATGCCGAGTCAATTTTCCCATTGAAAATAATGGAAAAGGTGGGGGTTGCGTTTCAAGCGGCGGTGTCTTTTGGGACTGGGACATAAGGTTGGGGGAAAAAGGGGACTGGGTTACAGCAGGGTGGGGATGTGTCTGGCTCTGGGGAAGGGAAGGGGAGGGGGATTGGGTTGGGAGTATGCCCCTGTGACGGGTCTGCCAGGACTGTGTCCTGTGAGGGGGGGTCGCCAGGGAATGGCACGGCGAGTGGCCACTTTGCAGGGAGGTGGGGGAAGCCCCGCACAGCTTCCAGCAGTGGGCCAGCTGGGGAAATCGTGTTATTTCGGGGACAGTCGTGTAATTCAAAAAATGTTCCCTAAAAAACCCAAATTGTATCTATCAGAAAAACGTGTTAAGCGGGCACGTGTTAAATGAGAAATTACTGTATTGATTTCAACCTATAAAACCCTAAATGCAATAAAACCTTGATTGACACTCCCTAAGTGTACAGGAGAAGTTGCTGCTGGCAGGATGTCATCTGTGAGGAGTTCTCGGTTATGGAGCTTGCTTTAGCCAGCAGAGCCCAGTTTTGTTATCCTCCCAGGAATGCTGCAAAACCCATAGTTTCTCTTTCATGTTGGGGGAGGGTTAGGGTTAGGTTGTTTTGCTTACGGGCAGTCCTTTAGTTATGTTCATGTGATGATTTTTAAAGCATGGGGTTGGTACCCAGAACATTGGTTAATGCCTGTGCTGAATTTCAAAGCTTTTGCTACGTAGATGACCAGACCAACATGCTTGCTAGCTTACTTTCTCTCCCTCATGTGGCTCTACTGTTTATTTTGTGCATTGTGCACCTAGTGAAATAGTTGTGCAAATTGTCCTTGTGCACTGGATTGCACTTGCAATTGTTTGTTTAATATATGCAAATAAGGCCCAACTTCTTGATAGTATAATCAATAATGTCCAGGAATTTACATTAGTAGTAGCTGATGGTTGAGAAAGTGATTCTACAGGACCATAGGGACACTGTGTGGACAGTATACTTCAGATGACTCCTTCACATGTAGTAGTCTAACATCCTTTTCCAGATTTGCCTTGATTTTATTACACTCTGATTTGTTGTTCATATTTCCAGTCCCAGTCCATTTCTCCTATGTAGCATAAAACCAGACAAGACCAAAAGATTCAGCAATTGATTCTGAACAATGAGGGGGAGGGAACAGGTTTTAAAAGGACACAAGGTTGGAATTACGGATCTGTTGCAAGAGCAAGAATCTATCATTTTTGTATCTTTGAATAATACATACATTTCCATTATTTACATCTTGTTAGCTGATTCTCCTGCCTGATCAATGTTTGTTCTTTACACAGGAGAAGCAATACTTTTCTTTTCCTGGAGAGCTCCTTATGAGGATGCTAAAAATGCTGATTCTACCCCTCATTACTTCTAGGTAAGAACAATTCTGTTACTTTAAGAATCAAAAGTCACATTTTTTTAAATTGTGCTGAGCAGATATATTTACAGGAGCCAAATCATCCTCTTTACAAACCCCAACGGACAGAGACATTCAGATCCCAAATTCACCCTCTAACCAAGGATCAGTAGATTGCACATTCACATGCGTTGACATTGTAATATATTTTCATTAATTCAAATATGACTTATGAGAAGCACGTTCATGCTCATTTTTAAGCATGTTGTAACAAACCCCAACATAAGACATACTTACTAAAATGTCTTCTATTCCAGGTTGCCAATACTCACTGCTCCTATTCTTTTTTTTCATGGTGATAGTTCCTAAGAAGATGGGAAAACAAGTAGTACTATCCCCAAATCAATTGTCACTTAATGAATCATTAACATGTCAAAAGGAAATACAGAAATACAAAAACAGTTTCAACAGTTTTGTACTGTCGATACTTTAAAGTTAATACTGGAAAACTTGTAATCCAGGAGATTCATGTTTCTTTCCTTCTTTTCCTGCAACAGAACAGAGTTTACTTTCTGACACTGAGGAACAACTTGATACTAAAGGGCTTCTTAGTACAGTAGACAAAAGCGAACAGAGGTACATTAGCTGGCAACTAAAGCTAGATACATTTGATCAAGAAATATGGCATATTTTTTAATAGTGAAGGTAATTAACTTACTTAAAGTTGTGGAGGCTTTGTCATCATATGAACCCTTTAAATCAAGATTAGATATCTCTAAAACAGTGGTCACCTACCAGTAGATCAGGATCTACCAGTAGATCTTGGAGCCCCTCACAGGTGATCCTGTGGGACACTATTAGGTTACTGGCACTTCATTGCCTCTCCACCTACTGTCATACTGCTCCTGCTCCTTGGTAGCCTCCTGCGTGCTGTGCAGGGTGTGGGAGGGAGACGAGGAGGGCGCTGATGTCAGGTTGTCCCTCCTCTCCCCACTCCTGAACCCTATCTCCACCCAGAGAAAAGGGGATAGAGGGAGCTTAGCAATGCAAATCTGTCACTTTCACACATTGGCTGTGTCTACACTGGCACCCCTTTCCGGAAAAGGGATGCTAATGTAGACTTTGGAATAGGCAAATCCGCGGGGGATTTAAATATCCCCCGCGGCATTTGCATTAACATGGCTGCCGCTTTTTTCCAGCTTGGAGATAAGCCGGAGAAAAGCACCAGTCTAGACGTGATTCTCCGGAAAATAAAGCCTTTTCCGGAGGATCTCTTATTCCTACTTGAAAGTACTTGAAAGGCTTTATTTTCCGGAGAATCACGTCTAGACTGGTGCTTTTCTCCGGCTTATCTCCAAGCTGGAAAAAAGCGGCAGCCATGTTAATGCAAATGCCGCGGGGGATATTTAAATCCCCCGCGGATTTGCCTATTCCAAAGTCTACATTAGCATCCCTTTTCCGGAAAGGGGTGCCAATGTAGACACAGCCTAACAGTTGCAGTAAGATAATATGGTAAGCAAACAATACTCATGTGTGAATTAAAATAGGACTTTTTGTTTACTTTGAACATGCATAATATATCTATAGTCTCCCTTCTCTTCCAACTGTTATTGGTAATTTAAACAATTTGTCATTCTCACAAACGCACACTGTTCTTCACTCTCATCTCCTGACCCAACACACAGTATTGTGTGTATTCCTTTTACTGCTTGCAGAGTGTAGTATTCTGGGTTTGTGACTGGTCTGTGCATTTTATAATTTTCATTTCTCTGTTATGCTTACATGCAATTCTTTGAATAGTGAGTTCCAAAATGGTAACTGCTGCTCCTGGAAGAGGATGGCTTGTCCCTGCATCCCCTGTGAGGGCGGAGCAGGGGGTGTTTCCACTTGCTGTCCTTGCTTGCAGGCACCACTCCTGCAGCTCCCATTGATCAATAATAGGGAACTGTGGGGTTGGTGCCTGTATATGAGGGACTGAACATGGAGCACAGCTGTACACACCAGCTGCTTTCAGGAGTGATGCAGGGCCAGAGCAGGAGTAAGCCTGCCTTGACTCCACTACTCCATTCCTGGGGCAGATCCCAGGGTGGGTGGGACTTGAACTCACAGCCCTGTACTCAAGCAAATGCCCTATCCCCTAGTCCATACCAGAACCCTACCCAACCTTCCTACTTGCAGTGGGTTGCTTTTATCCTGCCTTCCTAGTACAGGAGCCAGCTGTGTTGGCTGTTCAGCTGCCCCCAGGGTGGGCGGGACTTAAGCCCCAAACCCTGTACTCCCCAGGCAAATGCCATATCCCCATGTCCACTCAAGACCACCTCCCTACCGTCAGAGGGTCTCATTCTGTGTTTGCAGAGGGTGGGGTGAGGCTTGGGCTGCTGTGGGGAAAAGGGGAGGGCACAGCTCAAGACCACCACCCTGCATGCCTAAGGCAAATGCTCTATCCTCTAGTCCACTCCAGAGCCCACCCCACCTCCCTCGGGTCCCTTATCCTGCTTTTCTAATGCAGGAGCCATGTTCATCCCTGGGGCAGCCTGGTCTGTCACAGGGTGAGTGGGACTTGAGCTCCCCAGGCAAATGCCCTATTCCCTAAGCCACTCCAGAACCCACTCCACTTTGGGGGTGCCCCTTACCCTGCCCTCCCAATTTGGGAGCCTGGTCTATCCCTGGGGCAGCCGGTGTTAGCTGCTCTGGTGGGAGACAAGCACCACTCTAGACACTGATCCCCTAGCCTACTTCAGAACCAACCTCACAGCCCTACCTTCAGAGGGTATCTTGTCCTGCTTGCCAAATGCAGGAGCCAGCTCCATCCCTAGAGCAGCTGCCTGTGTTGGTTGTCCCACCACTCCAAAAGGGGGCAGGACTTGACCCCATAACCCTGTGCTCCATCCCTTAGGCCACTCTAGAGCCCACCCTTACCTTCGGTGGGTCCCTTAGCCTGTGTTTGTCTGCTCACTCCCAGGGTGAGCAGGGCAGGGCAGGGCGGTCTTGAGCTCACCATCCTGTGTTCTCCAGGCAAATGCCCTGTCCCCTAGTCCACATCCCTTAGCCTGTGTTTGCTGTCTGGTCACTCCCAGGGTGGGCAGGGCAGGCATAAGAACATAGGAATGGCCATACTGGGTCAGACCAAAGGTCCATCTAGCCCAGTATCCTGTCTGCTGACAGTGGCCAGCACCAGATGCCTCAAAGGGAGGGATTACAACAGGTAATCCTTACGTGATCCCTCCCCTGTCACCCACCTCCAGAGAAACAGGGGCTGGGGACCATTCCTGCCCATGCTGGCTAATAGCCATTGAGGGACCGAACCTCCATGAATCTATCTAGCTCTTTTTTGAACCCCGTTAAAGTTCTAGCCTTCACCGCATCCTGTGAGGTTCAACAAGGACAAGTGCAGAGTCCTGCATTTGGGACGGAAGAATCCCAAGCGTTGTTACAGCTAAGGAGTTGTTCTGCAGAAAAGGGCCTGGGGGTTACAGTGGCTGAGACGCTGGATATGAGTCAACACTGTGCCCTTGTAGCCAAGAAGGCTAATGGCATATTAGGCTGCATTAGGAAGAGCATTGACAGCAGATCCAGAGATGTGATTATTCCCCTTTATTCAGCTCTGGTGAGGCCACATCTGGAGTATTGTGTCCAATTTTGGCTCCCCCTCCCCCACTACAAAAAGGATGTGGATGCATTGGAGAGGGTCCAGCGGAAGGCAACCAAAATGATTAGGGGACTGGAGCATATGAGCTACGAGGAGAAGCTGGGGGAGTTGAATCTGTTTAGTCTGCAGAAGCGAAGAGTGAGGGGGGATTTGATAGCAGCCTTCAACTTCCTGAAGGGAGGTTTCAAAGAGGATGGAGAAATCTGTCACTACTGAGAACAGCCTGGCAGAACAAGGAGCAATGGTCTTGAGCTGTGGTGGGAGAGGTCCAGGTTGGATATTAGGAAAAACTATTTCACTAGGAGGGTGGTGAAGCACTGGAATGGGTTCCCTAGGGAAGTAGTGGAGTCTCCATCCCTAGAGGTGTTTAAGTCTCGGCTTGACAGAGCCCTGACTGGGTTGATTTAGTTGGGATTGGTCCTGCCTAGAGCAGGGGGCTGGACTTGACCTTCTGAGGTCTCTTCCAGCTCTATGGTTCTATGATTCTATTTGGCAAGGAGTTCCGCAGGTTGACTGTGCGCTGAATGAAGAAAAACTTCCTTTTGTTTGTTTTAAACCTCCTTTCTATTAATTTCATTTGGTGAAACCTAGTTCTTTTATTGTGGGATGTGACGGGGCGAGGCAGCCCCGCACTGAACTTGCAGGGCCCAGCCAGGATTACCTGGCTGCAGAGACCCCTCCCCCACAGCCCTACTGAGCATGCCCGGGCTGTAGCTGTGCTATAAAAGCCTGGGGAAGGACTCAGTCTGGGGAGACAGCTGGAGGAGAAGGACTGGTGAAGGGAGCTCCCACTCAGCTGTTGCCGGGGACTCCAGGAGAGGCTGGAAGGGACGTGGAGGCGAGTTGGCGCGACCCAGGGACTGCCTGCCATGGGGATGCCGGCCTGGAGCTTGCAGGAAGCTGGGCAAGTACAGTGGGAGGAAGCCCGGGGATCCAGGTAGGAAGTGGCCCAGGGCAGGAGCGGGAGCTGCCTCTCCCGCCCCGAGGACCTCGGTGTGTTTTGGCCGGACTGCCCCACCGAGGGAGTGACCCATTACCTGGTTGCTCACAGGGCCCTGGGCTGGGACCCGGTGGAGTAGGGTGGGCCTGGGTCCCCCTACCAGGGGTGTGTCCCCGCTACAACCCTGAACTGCTTTGTGGACTCAGGCCGGAGGGTCTTGGCCTTGGTTAAAGGGCCAGCTATAAACTGCATGGTGGACTCAGGCGGGAGGGGCCTGCCACATGGGAATAAGTAAATAACTTTTCCTTAGTCACTTTTTCCACACCAGTCATGATTTTATAGCCCTCTATCATATCCCCCCTTAGTCTCCTCTTCTCTAAGCTGAAAAATATAAGTTTTTAATTTCTCTTCCTATGGGACCTGTTCCAA